CCTGCTTCAGATTCTCTCTCTCCCTCTCTGTCTGCTCCTCTCTCTCTTTCTCTCGCTGTCAAAATAAATAAACTTTAAAAAACTATTTAAAAACAGGGGCGCCTGGGTGGCTTAGTCGGTTAAGTGTCTGACTTTCGCTTAGGTCATGATCTCGCGGTTCGTGGGTTCGAGCCCCGCGTCGGGCTCTGTGCTGACTGCCGGCTCAGAGCCTGGAGCCTGTTTCAATCTGTGACTCCCTCTCTCTCTGACCCTCCCCTGCTCATGCTGTCTCTCTCTCTCTCTCCTAGAAATAAATAAAACATTTAAAAAAATTAAAAAAAAAAAACTATTTAAAAACAAAACAGAGGGGGAAAAAGTGACAAAAAAAAAAGAACAGAATCTTAAGAACAGAGAACAAACTGGTGGTTTCCAGAGGAGAGATGGGTTGGGGAAAAGATGAAAGAGACAGATGAAGAGCACACTAATCTTGCTGAGCACTGACTAATATATAGAATTGTTAGATCATTATACTGCACACCGGAAACTAATAAAACACTGGATGTTAATATATTTCAATTAAAAAAAGAAAAAGAATGTGCAAGATTATCCATCAACAGTAGAGTGCATTAAAAAATCCTGGTAGATTATACATGGCAATGGAAGACTGAACTGCCACTACACCAAACATGAATGAATCTCGCAGACATAATGTTGACCAAAAGAAGCCTGACCCAAAATAGCATACACTATGATTCCATTTATATGAAGTTCAAGAACAGGTACAAACTGAGCTGTGGTGATAGAACTGCGGTTTCCCTGGGCAGGGGGCGGGGAGGAGGGTTATCTGCTGGGAGGGATCACAGGGGAGCATGCTGGCAGGCTGGAAATGTTGTGTCTCTTAATCTGGGGGAGGGAGTTTACACGGATGTATACCAAAGTAAAAGAAACTGAGATGTACACTTCAGATTTATATTCTTTACTGAGTATAAGTTAGATCTTAAAAAAGAACATTAAGTTTTTACTTTAGAGAAATGTAGCAAGGTTAATGAATCACACTCAAGATAGTCAGAAACCATCCCCAAGTTTCACTAAAAAACAATCTTTGGATTTTCCTCATTTGCAAAATTGGAATAGCAATATCTACCAACCTCATGTAGCAATTGTGAGAATTAAATAACGTATATCTTTGCACTCCTAGAAGAGAAGTCCTATATAAGGTAATATTTGTGGAGCGTTCTAAGATCTCGTTGTCACTTAAATAATGTCTTAGAGATAATACTTCCTTTCCTTTAAAACACAGTAATTAGGGGCGCCTGGGTGGCTCAGTCAGTTAAGCGTCTGACTTCAGCTCAGGTCATGACCTCATGGTTCATGAGTTCAAGCCATCTGTCAGGCTCTGTGCTGACAGCTCAGAGCCTGGAGCCTGCTTCCAATTCTATGTCTCTCTCTGCCCCTCCACTTCTTGTACTCTCTCTCTCTCTCTCTCAAATATAAATAAAGCACTAAAAATTTTTTTAATTAAAAAATAAATGAGTAAAATAAAATATAATAACTAAAACCCATAAAGTAAATGAAAGAGGAACTGTGAGTTAGGCCAAAAACAAATTGATAAATTGGGACCAAAGTAGGGTTGCCCATTCTTTCCAGGACCCTTCTAATGGGGAACTGTCATTAAATTGAAAAGTCAATATTTATCCTTATTAAATCTTCCTGAAAGATTCCAAAATCTACCTAGAACAGGTTTTTCAATTCTAGACACTCAGTCAAAGATTTATAAAGTTTCAAATCCAATAATACCATCCTGCTTACCTCCCTTTTTGAGAGTTATTAATAAAACAAATGATGTTGCAATCATCTGTATGGATATAAATAGCATGGTTCAAATCATAGTTCCTCTAAATCAGAGCTGTCCAGTGTGGTAGCCACTAGCCACATGTGGCTATTGAGCACTTGAACTTTGGCTAATTTGAATTGATCTGCCCTCTAAGTATAATATACACACCATTTTCAATATTGTGTCCCAAAAAAAGAATGTAAAATATCTCATTAATATTTTTGTATTGATGACATGTCAAAATGATACTATTTTTAATGCACTGGGTTAAATAAGATATATTACAATGAATCTAACCTGTTTATTTTTATATTTTTAATGTGGCTAATAGAAAACTTTAAATTCTATATATGGCTTGCATTATATTTCTATTGGACAGCAGGGATCTAAAGAAAGATGGAAATTTTCATCTCAAGACAGAGTTTTCAAAAGAGTTTTTAAGAATTAGGGTTAAGATCGCTTAAGTGTTTTCTGGCCAAATTACCTGTCTTTGTCACAGATTATAATCTATGTTTAATCTTTATAATCAACTGAGTTTTAGAATGCTCATGAGGTTTGGCCTACATGAAGTCATAGAACATTTAACTGGTTTCCCTGAACTTTAAATGACAGGTAAACATGCAGTTCTAAAACTTTTGGGGCTTTGTACCATTGAGGTAGAGAAAGGACCTTAACAGATCTCCAACATGACTTTCCAGGATACCCCATCCCAAAAGCTATATTCAATTAACCAAAAACGATACTGCTATGAACTGAACTGTGTTCTCCCAAATTCATAGGCTGAAGCCCTAACCCTCAATCTGAGGGCAAGACTTTGGGAGGTAATTAGGTTCAGATGAGGTCAGGAGGATGGAGTACTGATGATGGGATTAGTATCCTTATAAGAAGAAGAAGAAGGGCACCTGGATAGCTCGTTTGGGTGGGTGACCAACTCCGGATTTTGGCTCAGGTCATGACCTCACAGTTCATGAGATGGAGGCCCAGTTGGGCTCCATGCTGGGAGTGCAGAGCCTGCCTGGGATTCTCTGCCTCCCTCCCCCTCTGCCCCTTCCCTGCTTGCACTCTCTTTCTTCCTCTCAAAATAAATAAATGAACATTTAAAAGAAGAAGAAGAGAAAGAGATCAAAACTCTCTCTCTCTGCAACAGTGAGGAGGACATTGTGAGAAGGCAGCCATGTGCAAGCCAGGAAGAGAGCTCTCATGAGGAACTAACCTGGCCAGACCTTCCTCTGGGACTCGTAGTCTTCAGAACGGGGATAAAATAAATTCTGATTGTTTAAGCCCTGCCAGTCAACTGTATTTCTTTTTTTTTTTTTAATAAAGATTTTCAACTTTGCTTTTTTTAAAAATTTATTTATTTTTGAGAGAGAGAGGAACAGAGCATAAGCAGAGCATAAGAGGGGTAGAGAGAGGGAGACACAGAATCTGAAGCAGGCTCCAGGCTCTGAGCTGTCAGTCCTGAGCCCAACGTGGGGCCCGAACTCATGAACCTCGAAATCATGACCTGAGCCAAAGTAGGATGCTTAACCAACTGAGCCACACAGGACCCTGGGTCAACTGTATTTCGTTATGTCAGCTCAGGCAAACCAGCACAGAGACCTACTGCTTAAAGCAATCTCTTTTTTATTAACTATCATAATTAATCTCTACTTATAACATATACATTGTGCTACATAGAGGCATGGTGATTTGCACTATGTGATGAATAAGACTAAATATTTGTTGATTTTCTCTAGATGTTAACAGGACAGGTCTGACCTATGGCCCCTGTAGACCAACTCACTCATAGACGGTCTTTGTTGAGCCAGGAAAAAAGGCTCAAGGAAAATTATTATTTAAAAACATTATTACTTTAAACTAGTTCATTCTGAATTATATCTAAAAAATAGCTTCTTCAGTAAATGGAATTCATATTTCCATTTTTACCGAAAATTTAAAGTTGTTCATCTCTCCCGTAGGGAAACTATGATTTCACCACAGTTGAAGCATAGTAAGATCTCATTTTATGCACCAAGGCAGGAACGATCCTAAAAGTTCCTCAACCAGTATACTACACAACCCTGTGGCTTCTGGAGTAACATTTAAATAGGGGCGCCTGGGTGGCTGCGTTGGTTAAGCTTGTGATTTTAGCTCAAGTCATAATCTCACAGTTGCGGTGCTCAAACCCCTCATCGGGCTCAGTGCTGACAGCATGGAGCCTGTTTCCGATCTTCTGTCTCCCTCTCTCTCTGCCCCTTCCCAGTTTGCACTCTGGCTCTCTCTCTCTCTCAAAAATAAACGAACATAAAAGTTTTTTTAATAACTTACAAATAATAATGAAGAGACATCACACACAAAAAGGGAACAAAATAGTCTGCCTGTTTCTTTAGAAACATTCAAAACATCTTCAGATGTTTACTGCCTGTTTTTTTAAAAAATTTTTTTATGTTTATTTATTTTTGAGAGCGAGAGAGACAAAGTGTGAGCAGGGGAGGGGCAGAGAGAGAGGGAGACAGAATCGGAAGCAGGCTCCAGGTTTCTAGCTGTCAGCACAGAGCCTGATATGGAGCTCGAACCCACGGCCCATGAGATCATGACCTGAGCCGAAGTCTGACGCTTAAGTGTCTGAGCCACCCAGGTGCTCCTACTGCCTGGTTTTAAAGAAAGAAAGAGGAGGGGGGGGAAATGGTAGAGAACCCAATAGCATAGTTGATTTAATCCCTGTTATCACTTTAATCTCTTTTGCCACCTTTTGGAGCTCGAAGGGGTCCACGAACTCCAAGAAAACGACACAAAAATTTTGTTTGTCCTACACATAGTCTCTGGGAAAAGGGCCCTGAGCTTTGAACATAATCTCCAAGGAGACAGTGACCAAAATAGGTTAAGAACCTCCTGTTTAAGAGTTTACTTTGGTGAACTGAATGAACATTTCTCCTTGAACCTGGCCAGGTATTACCAGCCTCCTCACTTGATGTATACCACCTGAGACCTCAGAATGCGTACCAGGCCCTGCTTCCATTATTTAATCAATGACCTTGTTCCTTGGTTTTTGTTTCCTGGTGTGTGTATGCTAGCTGTCTCTACCCCCCTCCCCTTCCTCCAAGTTGTCCTATTCTGTGTATCCCGCTTAAATAAGAGTGGACCCAGAGTGGCTGTCTCCTTATTTGAGTGAGACCCCCGGTGAAACTTATCAGATTTACCAACATACCCTTTTCTCACAGTCCTCTCCACTCTTGCCGGGCCATCTGAATTTGCCACGCTGCTGGATGCGTTGTCCATTCCTTTACTCTCTTGTAATTTAGGTCTAGGAATCATCACTTTGGCGAGGTACTCCCAAGGACGTCAGATCGCAGTCCTGTATGGCCATTCCCACGTGGCATAAAATTCTCCTGCGTTCCCACCCTAAAGACGCTGTGAGAAAGAGATGGCGTGCCCTTAGCTCCCCAGAGAAGAAGATTATATAAATGTAATAAAAGCATGCTACTGCTGTCAATTATTCAGGCACGATCACAGCAAGCGGCTGAGCCCCCTGCACCTGCCTTGGCCATTTCTTGCCTAAGAGTCAGCAGAGACACAGGCACCCACTGACGTTGCGCCCCTCATTCCTTCCAAGCCCCACATTCCAAGTTGTCTCCTTGAATGTAACTCCGGATCTTCCTACAAACCCCTTTGTATTGAGGTAAAGAACTGAAGCTCACTCTTTCCTGTACTCTTCTCATCGGTCAATTCTCAAATCTCTTCGTCTCCTTGCAGAGCGCAGAGGGGTAAGTTGTGTGTGCGTGTGTGTGCGCGTGTGTGTGTTTCCTAAAACTTGCATAGAGCCCGTGAGTGTGGCTCTCCGACATCCTGGATCTCAAGGCAAGGAGTGGGCTGACCGGAGGGTCCCCGACACCCCGCACCACGTACAGCAAGCTCGGCCCCGGGAAGCGGCGGCGACAGGCAGGCGAGCTCGGGGCCGAGAGCCGGGCCCCGAGCAGCGGCGCCCGGACCCTCCGACCGCTCGCGCCCGGCAGGGCCCGCCGTCCCCGCGGGAAGGCCGGCCGGCCGGGCCGAGGGCGCTGCGCCGCGGCCTCCGGCTCCTCCTCGGGGCGCCGCGCGGCCAGGCCGGTGGGTGGCGGCGGCCCGGGCCCCCGGGGATGGCGGCGGCCGCGCTCCGCCAGCAGGTGGCCCCGGGGTCCCGGCGGCGCCGCCTCCTCCCCGGCGCCCCTCCTCCCGCGGGGGCGGTCAGCGCCCCGACCCGGCTCGCACCCCGCCGCCGCCGCCGCCGCCGCCGCCGCCCTCGGCCCGCCCGCCGCGTCCCCGGGGCCGCGCTCGCCGCCGCCGCCGCCGCCGCCGCCGCCGCCGCGTCCGAAGCAGCGCCCAGGCCGGCCCGCCGCGCCGCGCCCTCCCCGCCCCCAACTCGCTCCCCAACGGAAAGTTCGGCTCCGGCGGCGTGAGGCACCGCGACCGGGCATGAGAAGGGGTCGGGGGGCGTGCTGAGGGCGCCGGGCGGCGGCGGCGGCGAGGCGGGGGCAACTTCTCCCGGGAAAGCGCCTCCTGCCGACCCCGCGAGCCGCAGCCCCCGAGTGGGCTCGAGGTGGTTTTTCCCTTGCCTTTGCCTCCCCCTGCGGATTCAAGACGCGGACCTTGGTCCTGGCGCTCCCGCTGCCGGGTGACAAGAGCCAGCGCCGCCGCCGCCGCCTCGGCCGCCGCTCCCTCCGCCCGCCGGCCGCCCCCCCGGCCGCAGCCCCCGCCGCCTGCCGCCTGCCAGCACCATGGAGTTCTCCGAGAGGAAGAGGAGCAGGAAATCCCAGAGCTTCAAACTGGTGAGCCGAGGTAAGCGGCGGGCCGCGCCGGGCCGGGCGGGGGGCGTGCGGGCGGCCGAGGGAGGACTTGGCGCCGCGTAAACAGCCCCGCGCCCGGCCCGCCGCCCCGCGCCCCGCGCCGCGGCCGCGCGTCCCGCTCCGGGGGTCCGGGCTTCCGGGACCCCCGGGTCCCCTCCCGCGGGGGGCCGCGGCCGCACACGCCGCGCGGCGGGCAAAGTTGTGCCGGGGGGAGGCAGGATGCTATTCAGCGTAAACAAGTCGGAAGGCACATCAGGAAATTAGCAAACAATGACACTTGGGGAGCCGAGAGCCTTCTTTGGTATTCCACTCCTGTGGCTAGGTCGGGGGGTGGGGGGGAGCTGCCTCTCCGTCAGGCCGTGCACACACGAATCCCGACCAATGGTTGCGGGTTTGCTTTTTTTCCCCCCAAACAGAAGCAAAAAAAGGTGGTGGTTCTGTTAAGAACCAGAAAGAAGCTCATTAGGTGCACGAGCCCAACATGAGAATTGCTGACCTCCGGCGTCTTTTCTAGATGCGTTATTTGGGTTGGAAAGGTGTTTTAGAATAGATCGCTTATCGGTCAGAAAAGTATCCTTAAAAAAAAAAAAAAAAATCCAGCCGGTTCCTGACGATTTAACAGGTGTACACCACAGTCTTCGGGCTTGGGTCTGTTTTATCAGGGGAGGGGAAAGTTGAATCGTCTGCGTTCAGTTACTTGTCACAGCCTTTATTTTCCTGTTTTGACTTTTTTAAAAACGCTGAGAAGTTAAGAGCAGACATAAAAATATGTCTATCCAAATGCATGGTGTCACCTTAGATTAGAGGCAGGTGACTTTTTTCGTCCTAATGTCACAAGCCCCATTATTGAGTTTAGAACCACCTTGCTTAAATAATCTTTGAGTCAACTTGAGGTCACTACCAAACCACAGAACCTGTCCCCTTTTCTCTCTCTTGTTTTATCTAGCACTGACATCAGAGTAGAGAGAGCGAGGCGATTGTTTCACCAACCTGGGGAAGTCACACGTGAGCTGATGCACATTAGAGAGCAATTCCAAGTAATAGCGCTTTTCAAGCTAAGCTGAGCTAACTATGATGTAGATGCCATTAAGCCTGCCTTCGGCAAGCCTGAAAATGGTTTCATATAGACATTTTGAAGATCTGCTCATATCTGTTTTCCCTGATTTAGTTTGGATACTGATTCATGAAAGAGGCCTGACATAGTTTTACGTATTCAAAATATTTGGCTCTTTCCTCTTTTTCCGTGTTGATTACTCAGTCATTTGTACTTTAAAAATCTCCATATGTGCCTGTTGGTCTATGGATTCATTCAGGAATGAAGGCTGCTTTCTTATTTATGACCTCAGGGAACTTAACTACTCTATCTGAAAAGTGAGAGTAGTTTTGTAGACCATGTCCTGTCAGGCAGGTCTCAAGCCACCAAATAAATAAATAAATGGGAATCGCTTTTAAGAAGAAACCTCTGTTTTCTTGCCTAGATGATGCTACTTTTTAGAAATAGACTATTGGCAAGTACAGTAGCCTCTGTAGAAAAGAAAGGAACTCTTAAAGTACTGTAAAGTTTCACTGACATAGCAAGTTTTTCTTTTTCCTTTTTTTTCCTTCTTTAAATTATGGGTCTGATTCTTCTTTCTGCTCTGCAGGTGCATTTTTAGAAAATAAACTATTGCATATTAAAGTGCCATAGCTGAATGCGAAAGATTCATTTGTGTGAAAGATGAGAATCTTGCTTTCTTATCTAAGCTATACTATATTTGAAATAACAAATCAGTTTTCTTTCCGTTTGTGCTTTCCTGTAAGCTGCTTAAAGGCTGGGATTTTTCTGGGTAAACTGAGAAAACAGAGTGTCACGTTGCCCTAAAGCATGGTGTTGATATGCTGTACTCGTGGAAATGGGTTGTGGAGATAATTTAGGAGTTGCCCCCCCCCCCGTGGCCTATGTTGGGCAAGGTTTTTCTTTTCCTTATAAACATGCTTGTCATTTTAAAGAAAAGACGCCTAGTAATTGGCATCTGTGGGCCAAATTTACTGGGAAAACTATGTGATCAGCAAAGCCGTTTTCTAAAGTCAAAGTAATATTTCAAGTTTGTGTACTTTTTCAGAGTAAGCAAAGTTTTAGGGATTACTAGTGACTATGAATTCGGTGATTAACTGAGTTCTTGGAAATTATGTTTATAAATTAAAGTATAGATTATACACCTGCTGTATAACGAGAGTCTAGTCTTTATTGCTTATTCATATCTTGCAGGTCATTAGAATTTTAATTTTTCGTTGTTTTCTCATCCCAGATTATCACCATGAGGTATATAAGATCTCAGAATTCAGCAACGATGTTAATGGGGAGGCCAAAGAGACACAACCCATTTATTTAGGTAGGTTCCTATGTCAATGAATTTCTCAGCAAAACAGTGTGGCCATTTGCAGTTAGGGGGAAGGGGGGAAAAAAAAGGTTGTGCCAGAACGGGAAATGTCTGCCATTGCTTAATGTATGACATTCTTTTCAAGACCTTTTATTTTACAGATTGCCAATATATCCCTTATTAACATTGCTAAAAGTTGTAATTTCAGACATAAATGTTTATTAGTGTCTACACACAGTGCTAATTATCGCTCACTCCCAGAGCCAGATGCTGACTGAGCAGTTTTGTCGCTCTGTGCTCACCCCATTTCCATTGCATATTCGCTGGCATGGTTCACTGGCAATAGTTTGTGTAATTGGGGTATTACATCTTTGACATCTGGATAACAGAAATTCAATTTCCAGGAAGCCGCTATTTGTTTGGTTTTGCTTCTGCCTTGGGTGGGATAGAGGATTAATACGCTGTCTTATTATAATGTCCCTTCACCTCTGTGGCCTGGTTGCTAATCCTGCCATGACAAAATTAAATCTACAGTCAAAAAGCGTAAGGAAAATCAAAGTGCGATTGTCGCCGAACCACCTCTTGATAGTATTAGCTTTCCTCTTCCTGGATCTGTACGCATTTCACACCAGTGTTTGTGGTCAGAGGGACTAGCCATGCTCTGTCCTTGCCATCCTCTCTGCCAGCTCCCCTCAGGGACGAACCGAGCCACAGGCTGTGAGGTACATCAGACGAGTGTAGCCGCCTGATGAATGAGTAGGTAGGTCGTCCCACACATTGCCGCTCTTTCCAAGTGCAGTGTTTGTCACAGACCCCGTACGTGAAGGATCTTGCATGTGCAGCTTGTCAGTTGCAGACCGTGAACCAAAAACTGAACTTCAGATTTTGCCACCAAGAGTGCAGTACTCATTAAGTAAGAGCGAAGAGCACGTGGCGGCATGTGGCTTCGGCCATGCCCATCCCGAACAGCTCCGCCACCCCCCAGAGGTAGGGTGAGAGCCGGGTGCTGCACAACAAGGGAGCAGAACATGGGAGACCGTCGGGGCGAGAGTGATGAAAAGCCAGGGCCAGAATTGCCAGATCTCTGGTGAGAATTGAGAGCAGAAGGAAGTAGGAATTCTGTTCAGACCCAGTGTGAGTAGGACTGAAAATCCGAACAACGTGAAAGCCAGATGGCGTAGTATTCTGTCCCCGAGATCTCTCCTTCTTGCTTTGAGGAAGAAAAAGGGTGGGTTGCAAAAGGACTGAGAAATCAAACGGATACTTGATGGAGGTATAATGGGAGGGAAGTGTCAGCATTTCTTACATATGCAGCCACTGAAGGCACAGATCTTTCCGTCCGAGGGGAGAATATCACTGAGGCCAGCAACTTAGGCTCAGCACCTGTTTACTGTTAAGAGAACTAAAAACCAAAAAGTTAATAGTCAAGTGAAATGCTATGACCCAGAAGGAGAATATTCTTGGATTGTACTCTCTTTAGTTCCTTAAACTTAATCAGTTGGAATTCTGTATTTTCCTTTCCCTAACCTTGATTGGTTGGAATTCTGTATCTAAGTACCACTCGGCATAGCCGTTTGAAACGAGGAATTTGCCTATTAGTAGAAAATTTACATTTATCATCAAAATGGAACATCATGTCCTTGGTTCAGTTATTCTCCAACAAAGCAGACTTTTTCCCCCTTTCTGCTGTGAATTTGGAAAACAGTACTGCCGGGTGTAAGAGAGGAAGGGGTGAAGAGCTAGAAGACGCTAGTGCTCAGAACCCAGGAAACTGTGCACTCTTCAAAGGGGCACACATTGCTGCTTTCATTTTTCCCAGCTCGAATCCAGGAAGATAAGCGAACATCAGTGAAAGACCAGGGTTTGGATCAGCTTTCCAAGTTACTGGTCAAGAAGGCCTCAGACATAAAGAGACAAAAGTTCGAACAGTTACTTCTCAGTCTTCTGCTCATTCTGGGGAAAATGCGATACGGTTCCCAAAGACCAGTTTTATTTTGTGAATTCTGGATCCGTTTTTTTTTTTTTTTTAAAGTGGAAGAGCGAATGATTACACTAACATAATTTCTAGAGCAATCGGGAATAGTTACTGATGGCGTATGAGATTAAGAATTTGGTTGCTGATGGTGTTCTGAAATACAGGCATCTTGAGTTTGTAGGTACGCTTCTCAAAGCAGAGCTTTACATCATGTTTGTTTTTATAAATTGCCAGAGTCTATCCATAACCCTACTTGCTAAGGTGTAGATTTCCATGTGAGGTCTCTGACACGGAAGGAGGCAGTTTGTGAGCAGGACACCAGAAGATGCCGTTTGAACTATAATGCAGTCCTGAAACGCGGCCCCTAGGTGTTGTGTAGGATGTTCTGTGTTCAGACCTCGGTATAGTCTTTAATGCTATCTGCACCTAGAAGGTGAAAGTTCATGTCTCCGGGAAGGGGGCCACTCCGGGTGCTGGCAGAGTTCCCACGTGACGTCTATTTCTCTGGAGTAGATGTAGGTTGTTGACTAAGGAGGCCCGTCCAGAGAGGAGGCAGGGCGGCTTAGTGGTGTGAATGGCTTGGCTGAGTGCTTTGCGAGTCACTCACACAGTTTTAATGTGATAACAAAATACCCAGATGAGGGTATTTCACCCTGTAGACATTGACATGGTCCAGCTGGCTGGGATGGGCCTACAATAAAAATGCGAGCACCTGTTTGGAGAGGAACAACAACTTGTTTTAATCGGTTCAACAGATGTCTTTTTAAAGAAAATTCTGTGCACTCAGCACTTTTCTGGAACAGGAGTGGGGTTGGGAGTAACCAAAGAAGTGGATAGGACAGAGGCATTTGGGGGGAGAGGAGAAATTCTGAACACCATCAAGGAAGCAATATTCAGTGGTCATAAAAGCCACCATTGTTTGGGCACTTCGTGCGTGCACTGGTATTGACTTGGGTACTTCACACGAATTACCTCATTTGCTTCTCCCAGCAAACCTACAAGAGTCGTCATCATCCCCATTTTATACACGGGACTTCGGTGTTTGGTAGCCTGCCAGGGGCATCTCAAGTAGCAAGTGCCATGGCCGGGGTCCCAGTGCATATCCGCCTGCGCTGAAAACAGCCCACCGCATGCCCTTCTGTGTGAACGATGATTAATTGACAAATGTGACCCATTAGGGCAACGAGCAAAAGCAGTGTTGGAAGGGAAGGATCAAACGTAAGTTCAAGCTGAAAGCTCTGGAAAGGCTAGACATTGAACTTGGGGAAGATTTGCACAGGCAGAGGGGAGGTGAAGAAGGGTGCTGTAAGCTACAGCAGGGGGGTAAGTGTCACAAGACCCAGACGTTAAGTGAAGGTCATATGCGTAGTTTAAAAAGTGCTTTTACATCTGTCACCCTGGGGTTTTTACAGTAGTCCTGTGAGGTCACTGGGGCACATGTTCTTACTCCCATTACCTGGAGGAAGGAACTGAGGCTCAGAGTGAAGTGACTTGCTCATAAATAGTGGAACCTGGCAGAAACCCACGTCTCCTGTCCAAAGATTTTTTTCCCTCTACCATGTTGGGCCACACACTTCAGGAATCATCAGGAGACCTTAGCTGGTAGCAGAGCACTTTTAGAAAGTATTTTTATGAGACAATGAGTTTATTACTCATAGCATTAAAGGAAACGTAATAAAATCTCTTTTTATATGTTGGATTTCCTTTCAGATTTACTATGAAATAAATTTGAAACATGTCTGTTTTTCAGATGTTCAGTCTCTTTCATTTCTTCATTCAACAAATATTTATTGAGCTCCAATTATGTGCCAGGCCCCGACCCTCTTCTCCTTCCTTTTATGTTTGTCTGTTTTTTTGTTCTTGTTCCTTTTGACACTAAGTTATACAGCTTTTAGAAGATGAAGCACAGAGTGTAGTCACCATGCCCTTTGAGCAGGGTTGAGATCTCTGAATTTTTTTAGTGTTTATTTATTTTGAGAGAGAGAGAAAGCAGGGGAGGGGCAGAGAGAAAGGGAGAGAGAATCCCAAGCTGACAGCACAGAGCCCGACACAGAGCTCTAACTCCATGAACCCCGAGATCATAACCTGAGCCGAAATCAAGTCAGACACTTAACTGACTGAGCCACCCAGGGGCCCCTGAGATCTCTGAATTTTTAAATCTTTTTTCAGTGGCTTTTTTGATGACAGCCGCCCCCACCAGAGTCCCTAGTCTCCTCAAAGGTGACACACTCGAATCAGGTTAAGGAGTTAGCCTCTAACGACGACGATGTAAGTCTCCTGCCTGGAGAGGTGGGCAGGTACATGTGTGCAATGGGGGAGGGGGACCTCCTCACTGAGTCAGGCGGCCTGGGTCCCACTGGGTTCCTGTTTCTTCGCAAGAGGGAGGGGGCCCCGATGTTTCACCTCACCTGTGACTAGACTTCCGTGAGTGAGAAGCAACCTCAAATAAAATGAAGGTCCAAGTGGGTCTGAGTGTTTCTTGGGGGTTAGACATGTAGCCCATAATAGTAGGTGTCATTTTGGGAGTGCCTGCTGCGTGGGGGCACCATGCTAAGAACTTTGCGAGTAATCACAGGGCGCCATGCAACACAGCCCGCGTCTGCGGGACTCTGCACAGCTTTTAGGGAGCCCTTGTCACCATGTAAAAGTGTTTTCTGAGGCTTCCTACACACTTAACATCGATCTGCCTATCTGTATCCTGCGGATCCACCAACGGCTTCACAGATCACTGCGAGCAAAGTCAAAGCCAAGAGCCCCACCTTGAAGGCTCTCAAACACTGACAGCTCCTTTGAATACGAGCCTGTGAACGTGCTTCTGAACCTGTGGGCGCAGCGGCACACGCACTAGAGACTACTCGCTGCCTCAGGTTCAGGAGGTATCTGCAATCAGGCCTGTGGCACACTTGGATTAATCATTTAGCCAAGATCACAACCACACTGTGAGGCAGGTGTTCTATCCGTTATACAGACAGGAAGCTGAGCTCGGAGGTGAAAGTGATTTGCACGAGGTTGTACCGTAATTAGTAGTTGAGCGCGT